ATCTTCAGATAGGCATACTTGTTAAAGTGTCCAACTTGTGTGTGGTGGGAGAGAGGGAGAGGAGGGCTAGAGAGACCATATTCCATAGATGTCTAGATTTTTCAGAAATGAAGCCGTCTAAACTTCATCATCATCAAGCTACGTTCTTCAAATAATTTGCACTAAAATTATCAAAATTATCTTGATTTTCTCATACCAGTATCATGCTATTTAGCCAATGAACCTTTATATGGACAATGTTTGAACTTTGAAATTTCAAACACTTAGGCATCTATTAGTTTATGAGATGATTGGAGATGAAAGTCTATAATCTTCTCTTGAATCTTTAGAAAGTTGATTTTTGAAGATGCTTAGTTTTCCCTTCGACATTGCAAGATGAAATAAAAAGTGTCCCTTGAATTTTTTGTCTATTTGACATGCATGATAACTCTATTTGTTCTGTTAGTCCAATCGTATTTTGTTTGTTTTAACCCATCAAGGAATAAAGTCCTTTAAATGCTGCTTGAAGCACACAATATACTCCTTCCTTTTGCTGTTGGACCTTGTTATGCGGCTCAGTGGTTTATTTCCAAATTACCATAAAAGTAGCATCAACTTTATAAAATTCTTTAACTATCCAGGTGAAAAGCTTCACTTCACCAGAAAATCTATCATTTCAGTTAGCTTATATTGATGTGCTTGATGGTAATGTAAATATAATTTTATAGTTTGATTGACCAAGGAATAAAGGCCTTTAAATGCTGCTTGAAGTGCGCAACATATCCATTCCTTTTCCTGTTGGAACTTTGTTATGCTGCTTAGTGGTTTATTTCCAAACTACCATACAAGTAGCATCAACTTTGTAAAATTCTCAAATATCCGGGTGACAACCAACCTTCACTTCACCAGAAAATCTATAACTTTAGTTAGCTCATATTGATGTGTTTGAATCTTTGATGGTAGTGTAAATATAATTTGTAGTTGGATGCTATATTTGTTGACTGTGCTTGAAAAATTTGTTGCAAAACAGTTAAAATTGAACGCTATTTGAATGTTATGCTTTAAAGAAGTATGCTCAAATTCAACCTAATTGTCTCTTTTTTTCTACAGTGGACTTTTATTGAATTCATTGGGTGGATGGCAAACCAGACTTCGTCATTGCACTGGTCAACCTCAGAGCAACCCAAGAAACAGATCTTTGTTGCTGAAGAAGACTGTTTAATCTCATCTCGATATCCTGGAGTGTCTGTCTAGCAGATAGCAGAGCCCCCACCATGAAGAGTGGACGTCCATCTTAGTGTTTTAGTTGTCATGGTCAATTAAAAGTAAGATCAAAGTACCTTTTTAGTTTTTCCCCTCACCATCCCTCTCTCTGCTGCAGTTTTTTTGTTGTTTTACTAATCTTTAATCCTATCATAGTTGGGTAACTTGTTTGCTAAACATCATTTTTCCTGCTATCAGGATGGGCCCTCTGTTAGACTTTTCACCCGAACGTTGAAAACATGGAGTTCTAAATAGTCGTCGGTTAGGCTTGTTGCCATGATTGTCAATAGGTTTTTGAGCAAATAGGTTTTTGAGCAAACCGGAAGCAAGGGATGCTGTCGGCATTGGGGAGTGCATCACTTGGTTGAATTCGATTTGGCAACGAACTTGAACTGATTTCACATATTCTTCTTTGAAGCGAATATCGTTGACCAAAATTTAAGGAGGTTATTGGTTCTACTGGTGGTGCTGTTATTTTCCGGTAGAGACCAAAGATCTTGAGCGACCAATCCAGCAGAACAACTCAAAAGATACAAAAGTATCATTAATTTCTTTATACTCAGTTCCAAGTTCGAAATACCATTTGTACAAATAAGAATCCCTTTCATTACATGATTTCTTCTTCATATAAATAGATATACGATCGATGAGGCAATTACTAATCTACAATATGTTTTTGATGATGCATGGAAGAAATATTAATGGGAAAAGATGAATAGTACAAGAAGTATGGTTGAAAATAAAGTAGGAGAGATATGGAATATGCAGAACTTAAGGGAACACGGCATATGGGTCTCTATAAATTGGTCACTTTTTCAACCACCAATTATGGCTGCAAAGTTGTATGCTTCTTGTTTTGGTATTCTATTACTCTTTATCAAACACCCTTCTATAGTAATCCCAGTAGATTTTCCTTGACACAACACCCATCATCTCTCCTTTCAAAGAAACCCCCATGTCCATATAATTTGTGTAAGATTACGGTACTGAATGAGGATCGTTACCAAAAGATACAATCTTTTTGGTCAAGTTACAGCTAAATCCCATAGACGACAAAAAGTATCGATCTTAAAATATTACGAGTGAATTCAAACAATTCCATTTTATTGTAACCACACCAAACTAAGTTGTAATCTCACTTTTATTTTAGTACAACTTTATACGATACCAAAAAATAATATAATCTTACATGTACAATCTTGTTAATTTACCTTTTTTTTTTTCTTTCCGCCTTATCTACTCATTTTGTGGAGAGACAGATGATCCTGTCAGCAAGGCTGGATAATACTGACTGCTCACCTACTAGGGAGGTAAGCTTTTTCAATCTTATGGTAATGGTATGGCTTCATTGTTCACTCCACTCAATGTTTTTTCATAAAAGGGGAAGTAGATTTAATGATTAGTACAGGACAACACACTCTTTATACAAGAATCTTCATCTTTTCAATGCTCCCTCATAATTACCACCCTTATCTTTTTCATATCTTTTTATGTCCCACTTACTCCTTGAGTTTGTTTGAATTTGAATTCTATCAAGAGAGGAGTACGAGAGAATTGAAATTGATTGGTGTTTTCCATCCCTCATGACCCCCTATGTACCTTCTCTATTCATGGCATTGTTTGTTGTTGCCTTACTTTTTTGACAAGTGATGTGATTGATAATTAGCAAAGATGTATGGAAGTAAGTAGATATGAATTTATAGGTGAGAAGCTGTAGCACCTATAAATGGCACATTTACTTTACTGCATTGAGTGGTATTGTTGAAGTACACCCATGACTAACAAATTAATGTAGCCATTAGGAAACATGTAAAATTATGTTTTTTTGGTCTGGTTTATATAATTCAAAACAATATGTACTTTTTTTTCGTCAGATAAGCTGTGTAAGTGAATTATGTCATCTTCTTCGTCATCTTATTCTTTAAGTGAACTAAGAGTTGCAACTTATAATAGTGAATTATATTCTCTTTAAATTTATTTCATTAAGCTGGTTTTAGGGAGGGATCTGAGAAGATAATCCAAGGGGGATGGTCTGAGAAAGAGAGAGAGAGAGGGGGGGGGGGGGGGGGGGGCA